TGTGTGTGTGTGTGTGTGTGTGTGTGTGTGTGTGTGACAGAGTTCAGTGAGACCATGGAGGAGAAGAGGGGAGAGGGGGCAGAATCGGGAGGGAGTTAAGCTTCCTGACAGCCTGATGGATGAAGCTGTCCTTCAGTCTGCTGGTCCTGGCCTGGAGACTCCGCAGTCTCCTCCCCGACGGCAGCAGCTTGAAGAAGCTTTGCATTGGGTGCGTGGGATCAGCCGCTATGCAAAGGGCTTTTTTAGTGAGACGGGTGCTGTAAATGTCCTGGAGGGAGGGGAGAGAGACACCAATGATCCTCTCTGCTAGATTAGATTAGATTAAATTTCATTTAATTTTATTAATCCCTCAGGAGGGTTCCTCCGGGGTTTTCACACAGCTGAATAAACGTCAAACAGAAAATGATTAAACAGAAGTGTGAAACAGTGGCGAGTTTACGTCAGCGCCCGGTTATATTTTAGATAGCAAGGAGCAGACGGCAGTTTCACTCCACCAAGGGAGCTCGTGACGTACTACCCAGCTTTCTTTAGACCACGAAGGGCGGGTCCTCAGATGGAAGCAGCCTCTGAATTTGGACACTCCCGCTGTTTCCAGGCCGGCCAATAATAACGGTGACATGTAACGTATTTTATCCAATAAATAAACCCTGTAAAATGTATTTATTGAGGTTTTCCTGGGAATATCACCAAAATTCGAGCTTTGGAAAACGCCGTATTTCATCCAGTGTCTACCCTCAATTACTGAATAAAAATAATAATTCCCACCACAAACACATGTGCAGGGGACATGGTTGACGCTTCCGGACTGGACAGGTTGAAGTTTAGCTGACGGTGTTTCCCTCCTCTCCGTCCTGAGTGGCGCGATCTGGTTTGATGTTCTCAGGACTTAAAAGCAGTTTTTGTTTATTTTGAGCTTTTTGAGTTTTTGATGTAAAACAGCTAAAAATGAAAATGTCTTAGACTCTTGTAACTGTTAAAGATGAATATTGGCGATATTTAGTTTCGCCAGTAGGTGGCAGTGGCGGCTCAGACAAACGGGTGACCGGCAAAATAATCCCTCACAAAAGTAACGCAGGCCACTTATTGTAATGGCAGCCGTCAGTAAAACAGAACTGTTTTGCTGTGTTTCAGCGCAATAAACCTCCACGTGCACCTGGATGAACCTCGTCTTCCGTCAGTGTGTAACACGTCTTCAAAGTGGGTGACTTCCATCCTTTTTATACAGTCTGTGGTCTGGAAGCAGCCCAGGACATTTTACTCCAACCAGGATTTTAAAATCAGCCCATTCTGCAGAAAGGCTCATAAATAAAGAACCTCGGCAGTAAAAGACGGTCGATGAGTAAACGCTTATTAACCCCGATTCTTTCGTCCCCATGATAGAACAGAGAAAACCGACTCATAGTGTGTTAAAACATTTATATTTCTTTTATTCAATCATCTTCCGGAAGAGAGAGACCCCTGCACAGCCCAAAACGCCAGTTGCAGGATCTCGAACATTAGAATCACAAACTGTGCCTCATGTAGGTTTGATTTCTGTACTTTACACGTCACAGTTTCAAACATTGCTTATATGGCAAAGTTCCTCTTTTCTGTGTCTTATCTATTAATATGGCTGTGCACTAAAACTTCCTGTTGTTCAGTCTGGCTGAGCACTTAGTTTGGGAGTCAAAAGTGGCCTTGCTCTACAAACCTTCATGATTAAAGAACATAAAACAATATAATGAGAAAATAAGGATACTGAGGATATTAGTTACATGACTCTCTGATTGCAGAATGTAAAATTTCCAGATTTCTAAACGTTTGAAACTCATGTACAAAAATCTCAATCAGAACTTTGTGTGCAACAAATTATTCACAGAATAACTCAGAGAATCGGCGCCGTCTCCAGAGCTTTGACTCGAGTGGCGAACAGCAGGACGTTCTTCTCCACCTCTGCGTTGATCTGCGCCTGCGAGGCTCGCGGGTTCTGTCGCAGGAACTGTGCGATGCTCAGGATGCAGTCTCGCTGAGGACACGGAACAGAACGACATGCATCGTGAGGAAATGACACGCGAGCAGAGAGGTGGATGTGATCGGCGCCCCCGCTGTACCTTGTAGGCGTCAACTTTGTCCTGGCCGGTGATCCGATTCAGCAGCTCTCTGCCGACCTGGACGCCCGTCACCGCCGCCAAGATCCTCCGGTCCTCCTCAGTCTGAGAGTTCAACCATCGCAGCAGCGCCACCTGCAGGAAACACGATGAGAACCAATCGCAGAGTTTTTGTCTGTAAACCCAGCAGACATGCCACAGGTGTTTTTATGAACACAAAAAGTGAAAAAGATGAACAGAAACAAGCTGGGGCTCTTTAGATTCTCCCGTAAACTCACTAAACTAGACCAAAGACAGAGCTGATGGAGAAAGACGCAGCATCCCTCTGTGCAGGTGAGCCTCAGCAGCCAATCAGGAGCAGGGACTGAACTTAAAAACGAACTGGATGAAAAACAGGTGGGTGTACAGAGGCTGAGGGCTGGACTGTGGATCAGGAAGTGACTTCAGGTTTAACTGTGGGTATACAAGAGCTGCCGACAGACAGACAGACCTAAAGCGTGTACCTGCTGCCTGTGGGAAAGGAAGAGGGACAGGATAACACCTGAACACCTGCAGGTGTACCTGTGTCTTCAGGAGTATTTGTGGCTGTTTTCCTTTCAGCTGAGTTAGATTTTAATTTGACTCTGCTGATAGTTTGATGTTCCTGTGACCCTGCACCTGTGAAGATTACAAGGTCCATGACATGTCAGGGACCCTCCCACAGGATTTCAAATGTGGGACCAATTGTTCTTGGAGCGGAAGAAGCTTCTCTGATTAAGTCCAGGCGCTTTTCTCTCCAGGCTCCTTAGACTACGATGACTGAAACCTGTAATGATTCCTGAAAAATTAAATTGTTTCTGTTCTTATTAAAAGTCTTTTTGGTCGTTTCGATCGGACCTTCTCAGCCACGTTTAATTTACTGTGACACACGCTGTGATAAAAGTTTACATTTCATTTGTTTCACATCAGATTAAACGGATTTACCTGCTGGAATAACTGCGCGTTGCTCATCTCTCCTGTGTGGTTCACTGACCCGGACATGACCGGAAAACGGCCCCAAAACAGCGAAAAATCCCCAAACTAAGAAAAACGTCCCGAGATTAAACTAAAGCAAACTTCAGCAGCTCCTCTGTGTTCAGCAGCTTTCGCTGAATTTCACATTTATCCACAAATTCGACACGACAGTTTTTGTGGACGTACATGCCCCACTTCCTGTTTACATCACTTCTTCTTCGTCGCTTCAGAAGCAGCTCGGCGGCTCCACAGCGCCGCGTGCGTGAAACAAAACGCTGCTTCCGTCCGCGTGCTGCGCCACAACCGTGTCTCCGCGTGTTTGCCGCAGAGCTCCGACTGAGCGCTGGGTATCGATTCCATTTCTAAAATCGATTCAATTCCGTTTTGACTCAGACAGTCAGAAATATTCTAATTCTGATCAGTTATCAGTTCATCTCCATATTTTTATATCTATGTATAAAACAAAGTTCATCAGAGGCGTGAGCATCACAGCAGAGGCCTTTGTGTCAAAGGAACTGAGGATAAAACAGAAAATCATGAAGCAGATTTTCCTGGCCTGGCGTTTTATAGCAGATAGCTAGACTTGTCGTCAAGACCGAGACCAAAAAGTCTTTAAGCTGCAGCCAGATGCTGCTTCGTTTACGGGTGTCGGGCATATGTGTTTTTGCGATGCACAGCCCTCCTCACCGCTGTCCACTGTCTCACTCACTGAGAGGACAGACGCACGCTCCACGTGACTCTCACCCTCTCTGTTTTTCACACAATGATATTATCCTATATCCTCGCATGTGATTGGCCACAATATGGAGGGATTGGAGCATAGCTGAGCCCCTGTGTGAGAGCTGAGCAGCCAAAGGAAATTAAGTGAGGAGCGGCTCTCGCTCAGTGGGAGTCGAGTCTGATTCACTACAAAGCGCTCTGTAAGCACGGCTCTTAGAGCTGATGCTTTTGAAATGACACATCATCCAACGTTACGGTGTGTGTCATGGAAACTGTTGACTCCAGATCTCCCGACCACTATGTCGATCTGAGACGGGGAGACGGAGACAAGACGGAGACCACGTAAAAGTGGTCTCGAGACATCAAGTCTACAGATAACCTTAAAAAAATACTGCTGTCGATCCAAAACAGAAGAAAACCATGAATCAACATGTGAACATGACCTGATGCTGCTGAAGTGAAGCAGAGCAAAGTTACAGAGGTTTGATTACAGACACAGCTGAGCAATCATTTGTAAAAGTTTACATTTCTTCGGTTTGAACGGCAGAAATGAGGCATTGTTGTCAGAGGCCGACAGCGCTGAACACCGCAGCACTGCTGCGTGATAAGCAGAGAATAATGCAGAAAACAGAGATTTGATGGTAAACTGGTGTCTGAGGACACTGAGAGAGCTGTGCAGGAACTAAAAGCCAAAGTCAGAGCGAGTTCATGACGATGTTTATCAAGCGTGAAGCGTAGTTTGGACCTTCGTTTGCTGCAGGTTCAGTGAATTTTGGTTGGAGAGAGAAAACCTGCAGCATCAGAATCACCCCGTGACGTCGGGTGAACGATCCACACTCTGTGTTTACATGTTTCTGCTCTCATTTACTGTTTCGACTGTTTGCTGGTTGCTGAAATAGTTTTGTGAGATTCTGGCGTTTCTGGCAAAATACATTTATATTTAAAAATCGATTCTAATGAATCGATTTCACTTTATTCAAACTAAAATCGGCGGATTTTTTAAACCCACTCCTGCTCTGGCTCCATTTAAGCTCCTTTAAATAATTTCCTGTGTAAAAACTAAAACACGAGGTTTTCCTCGTTTCAGTTTCCCTGGAAACAAACAAACTTTTTAATTTTCTTTGTAATGCCTGAAAAAAAATAGTCACATCACTCTTCATTTACCCAGAATGCAGTGCAGACGCATGAAAACAATATGAATGATATTTCAGAGGGAGACATGAAGCCTCACAGACACATTTTATTGTTCCAGACAGCAGATAAATTCATTACTGTCAACATTTGTTTCACGGCAGCTTGTGTCGCTGCTGCGACCTTCATAGCCCGTCTCCTGAGCACAATGGCAGCAGTTTGACGGTGCCGGCGTCTTTCGGAGGTCACGCGGTTTCAGCCGTGCTCTTTGGGTTTGGAGAAGGAGCCCAGCTGTTTGGTGTTGGCGTTCCTCAGCTGCTCCAGCTGCCGCTGGCCCCGTCGGTATAAATACTCAATGTGCATCACGTCCGTCTTCTTGATGCGGGAGTTCTCTCGGAACTCGTCGCGGATTCGGGGGAGGAAGCCCGGTTTGTCCTGCCCGGCTCGCAGGAACTGCCGGTACAGAGCGAGGACCTGCTTCTGCAGCTTACTGTGCCGCAACATCAGACCGAGTCAGCAGAGACAAGAGTCCAATCAGAGAGCAGCTATGCACACATGACGCTCCAACACCGGCGTGTCTCCAGCTGCGCTCCCTCACACGCCCACTCTGAACACACCACGAGGCTCAGCTTCACCTGTTTCTTCTCATTCAGGGTCTTAAAGAAGACGTTTGCCTGCAGGAAGAACACAAAGAGAACTGAACAACAAAACAGCGTTCAGGAAGATTCATCGCGTCACGGTCGCTGATTTTATTCTCTCACAGGAGAAAACTGACACATTGAAGACACAACAGAAGGCGTCTGCTCACCTGCAGCTCCATATTTATATCCTGCAAGAACAGCTTTGCATCAATCAAAGTTCAAAATAATCCTTCTTTATCTCACGTTCTCTCTGTCTGCCTCCTAGCATGCCTTCCTCCTCTCCTCCTCGGACTTCGGTCAACAGCAGCACAGTTCCCCCTGAGCCAGACTGAATATAACAAATGTTCTCCTTCTACCTGCTTGTTTTTATTTCGAATGCATTCACTGGAGTTCTAATGAAGGAACACGTGTTTGTGTCTCTCTGTTTCCATTAATGTGGTCTGATCTTTAACTCATGTGTGTTTCATATTCCCGCACAAGCATGAACGTGCACGCGAGCCCCGACTGTGCACACAGGTGCCGACCTGCACGTAAAAGCACGTTTTTGTTTCAGTAAAGATTCTTCCTCCGTCCTTTTTTACCCCGCGCCTCTGCTGATTTTCTCATCACTGATTGTTTTCTGTGATAACTGAGCTCACCCGGCACACGTTATAACAACAACAGCGTTTAGGTGTGTCTCTCACTGAAACACATTTCAGCTAAAATAACATAAATAATTGATCTTTGGATTCTGACTGGATCCTTTGACCCTCCTGAGTAACAGTTTTTACAGTAACACATACAGTAGTATTAGCATTACTTATATTATAGTACTACACGCAGTATTACCGACTGCTGGACCTCAGGATTGATCAGCGAGAGCGATCAGTTCAACTTCCTGTTTACCTGACGGAGTTCCGCTCGGACCGGTTCGGACCGGCTCCGCTGCTTCACCTGTTTGTCCTATTCCACCGTCACAGGTACGTCTCCCGGCTCTCTGTGACCTTATTGCGTTATAACACCGGCCTGAGTCGCAATGACCAGGACAAACTACAAAACACGTGATTTCCGGGTCAGATTTTCACAATAAAGCACGCGCACAGACAAATAAAAGCTAATACCCGTTTTAAGAACGCTGCTCCTGATTGGTTAGAGCTCAGTTACCTTCTGATGTATTCATCTTAATTTGTACCGTCCAAATCGCCCGTGGGGGGTGTTCGAGTGGGTTAAAAGCTCTTACTGCGGCGGCGCGGAACAGGAAGATTAGTAGCACTTCCGGTGTCACCTTCTGGAGTCAAATGTCAAAACAGGCGAGCTGAAGCAGTTGGGCTCGTGCTTTTATCACCGGCATCTGTTTCCGGGGGAAGGCTTCCGTGATTTATGACGCCGGTACCTGCGGAGAAAGTAACGAAGTACTTTTAGTGAACTACAGTTCTCAGGATTCAGATCCGACAGTAAGAGAGGAAGCTCTCCCAGCTTCTGTCACACCTGGTAGAGACCAGAAACACCACACCTGGATCACAGGTGAGCCTCTGCGCGCTTGCAGTCACAGCCTCGAGCTTTGAGGTGTTTTTTTAGCTGATGAAGACGCTCTCTGTTCTTCCTCTTACAGACATGGAGATGACAGCTGAGGAACAGCAGCAGGTGGAGGAGCAGGTGGAGAGGCTGCTGAGTGGGCAGGGGTCAGAGGTCACTGTGTGTGATGTGGGCCTGGAGCAGAGCAAACCCGCCACTCTGAGGAAGAACGTCACCTACATCGTCTGTGCTGTCATCTTCAATGAAAAGGTGAACAGAGGTCACCACAGGTAGCCACTCAGTCTCATCAATACCCTTAAATGATCGATTATTTAATTAATTAACACTCCTTCAGGAGGAGGTGCTGATGGTCCAGGAGGCCAAACCGGACTGTTACAAACAGTGGTATCTTCCTGCTGGGAGGGTGGAGGTGGGAGAGAGCCTGGAGGAGGCAATGAAGAGGGAGGTGAGTGAGGAGGAGCCTGAAGCTGCAGCTCCTCCAGCGTCCAGCAGGGGGAGCAGTGAGTCAGTCCCTCCCATGTTAAAACAAACCTGTTTACAGCCTGATACACAAACAGTTTGGTCTCTGTGGATCATATACTCCTTCATAACAGCTGTACACAGAAGAGCGTTTCTATTACTCACCTGTTCAAATTGTATTAAGGCTTAAAATTTGCATTAATGGGGGCGTGGCCTCTTTGACTGACAGGTAGATGGTGGTACAGGTGGCTGTAGCAGCTAGCTGTGCTAGGCTTCACCTTAACTAATGGGAGTCCCTGAACTGGACCTCTGGACCGTGTTTGTGCTGTCGGAGCCTTTTGGAGCGTTTTAACGACATCATGTGACCAATAATATGCCTGCTGTGATGTCACTGTAGAAACAGAGCATCCGAGGAGGCGGAGCTACAGTTCAGATATTACTGAGCACTGATTAGCAGATATGTGTTTGTGTGATGTTTGCATAAGGTCCGTGAATGCAGCTTCCCAACTTTCTAACCAAGATATGTAGCATTAATTAACTCCTCCCACTTGACCAAATACGATCACTTAAGGTTGAAAAAGTCAAAATACTGAAATAACAGTTTGTTTTTTCATTGGGTAAGCACTGCCCTCCTTGCTTGCCCTGACAAAAACAACACTGCTTTGCAGACATCAGGAGGCGAGGAGGAGGAGTGATCTGGCTTTAACCTCAGTGTTATGTCACCTGTGTGAACATGTTTTTTTTTATTTGTATGTCAATAAAATGTCTGAAAAATCATAATCAGAGACTTTGTGGAGCCCCAGGTGGACATTAGAGGAACTGCAGGTTTTGGGGTTTCAGTGTTTTCTTGTCTTTTTAACTCTTTTATTAAGAAAGTACATAACAGTAGTATGACTCTCTACATTGCTTTTGCTTTCAGATTTGTAAACTTATAGTTGAAAAAAAAACCCCGTAAGAACTTGGGTTGGGGGTAGTGGGGCAGCCAAGTTAGCTTCGCATTATTAGCATGGGTATTTAAATCAGTGCACCAGCATAAAAGTGTCAGGCTTGATAGAAAATCCCACCTCACAGGCTGAAACATATTCTGTAGAAGGTGTCCGTCTGCACTTTGAGAGAGAAAGACAGTTTTTCCATGGTATAGATGTCTTCTACAGAATATATCCAGTCTTCAGTCGTTGGTGGTTCAGGCTTGAACCATCTCCTTGTGAGGGCCTGTTTACTCGCAGCCGGCAGTCCCAGGAATTATGGAAATGGTTAGCACCATCTCCCCCACATCTCCAACAAGTGTCACCAGTTCCCAGATACCTTTTCTGAGCAGTGGGGATGAAGAAGCTCACGATGCTTTTCCAGCAAAATTCACGCCAAAGAACAGTGGTAGTCCACTGTATGCTTATGTGGTCCCAACACTCCTCTGGAATTGTCAGGTTAGCTTTTTTTCCCCACTTCACTTTAACATAAACAGTGCTGTTGTTTTTACACAGGATGCTGTTGTATAATCTGGAAATGATTTTATTGTGTGCTCCAGAATTAGTTAATGATGCAAATGTTTCTACAAATCGTCGATCGTTTAGATTCACTTTCAGGTCTTGATTAAAATAATTTCTGACCTGTAGATATCTGAAGAAATCGTCTGAGTCTAAATCATATTTTCTCCTTAAGGTTTCAAAGCTTTGAAATGCCCCCTTGCGGACAGATGATAATAATTAGTTAGGCCTGTTGGAATCCAGTTCTTGAAGCTCTTATCGCACTGATTCAGGGTAAAGTCTGAGTCATATACGCACTATCTAAAGACTTTAGAGGCATTTCCAAACCACAAATTCTTATTGCTAGTGTTGGTTCATCTGGCAGGTTTGTTTTGTTCTGTAGCTTTGTGTCTGATATTAAAGCTGTAGCTGGTATTACTTTAACATTTGTTCCTTCCAGATCTTTCCATCCCACAGTGTAATCTAAACAACAGAGACATATCAATGGCCTTAACTGAGCTGCACAGTAATACTCTCATAGACTTATGTTATAGAGGGTTTTATATTTAACTCTGGCTTTGTTCCCTTTCCAAATGTATTTTGACAGCAGTCTATCCCACTCCACAAACTGTTTTTGTGGTGTGGGAATCTGTAGCGACCGAAACAAATACAGCATGTTTAATCTAATGGCTTCAATCCTAGAGTGTAGGTCCAATAAAGGGACGGGATTCAGAATCAGAATCAGAATACTTTATTAATCCCGAGGGAAATTAGGGATCCCATCTTTGTATATCAGATTTTATGGATTCATTCACAGGACCATAGTTGGCATCAAACATTTTGGTGACGTCACGATGTATTACCCCCCTACGTACCTAATGCTACCTGCGTCCCATTTCCATTTACAGTGATTCTTCATTTCGATTGGTGGATCGTAGTTTAGAGTTAGTACCTGCGTTTTGTTTACATTAACCTTGTATCCCGAGAAACTCTGAGAGCATTTCCATGATTTTGGGGAGTGCCTGTGTGGGACAGGATGTAGTAGGTCGTCGGTGAACAGTGCTAATGTCTGGTCCCCTCCTGCTGTTCTTACTGTCTCTGCCTGATCCACTGATGGTTCTGTAAACAAGCTGTTTCTGCTGATTAAACGAGCTTCACGGCGTAGCTTTTGCTGGACATGTACTTATTGGCTTCCACTGCCATGTTGTAAATCTTTGTTTATCGGTATATTTCACCTTAGCTAAGCTGGAGGGGATCTGCTGCTCTTTCAGGGTCTCGCACACGTTGGCGTATTCTCTTGGTTTTTTTAGAATCGGGGGGTTAGTCAGGGTCCAAGCTCACTTGGTTGGAGGTAAATCCTCTGTTCTGCCATGCCGTACGAAGCAGAAGTTCCTTTGTTTTGAAGCTGAGGAATTTCACAATAATAGATCGCAGGGGAGCGTCGCCTGGGGGTGGTGCGCCCGTTCAATGCGTACGTCAAGTTCATCTTTGGACGGCCCCAGGCCTTCCAGCGGCAACTTCTCAACAAACTCACTCACTGTTGTAGAGCCCGCGCTGCTGTCTCGGGTACAGCAGAAATGCATTTGTTCTCTCTTCCTGTACGGCTCTGTAGGTCTGTCAGTTTATCCTCCACCTTGTAACAGCAGTCTGGCGAGGAAGGAGCGGCTAACAGGTCCAGCGGGCATGAGGTGTGGAGGTTAGCCGGATAACTCGAAGCCAGTCAGTGAAATTAAACAACAGACCTTTATTCATTGTCAGCAACATAAGACCATACGAGCCAGGTCTCCACGGCTCTACTCTGTCCGTACATACATGTGCGGGGATCGGTAGTCGCCGGCGCCAGGCCGTTACAACGGTGAGGTCTGTCCTGAGAGCAGAACACGAGCAGCATGTAATGGCTGCCACGCTATACTCACACACCCACTAGGAGACTCCCCCAACTACTACAATAGTAGGGCAACCCCCCCTAGTGGTGCGATAACACAATAAGGGTTGTTACAACCTTCACCTGTAGCTTTATTTTTTCAATCATGGCGACCTCGGTGTTCTCGATCCTGCCCTCAGCCTCGTCCAGTCTGGCGCTCACCTTTAGGATTTCT